AACTCAAAATCTTTCCCTTAAAGGACATACAAGCAAAAAAACTCCTTAAATCATTGAAAACAAACAATAATTATTAGAGTGAACTTGAACTTCAGTAAAAATATGATTGGAAAAGTATGCCCTATATCAGTATAAAACTGGGATACGAGTTCAAATTGTTTATACTGGTCTATGCTTTCAATATTCATTGATGTTTTACACTATTTCCATGGCTACATAACTGCTTCAATAGATAAAGAAAAATAAATATAAATAATTGAAGAAAGCAAAAAAAAGATAAAACTCATTGCATATATAAAATCTAACTTTCTGATCAATTATATTTTTTAAAAAATCCAGTATTCTTTCACATTTTTAATAGCAAATTTCATTATAAGTAGCAGTTTGTATGAGCAGACAAAAAATGGGTATGCTGTTACTGTAACAAAACAGACACAACAATTAATTTTATTGAAAAAAAAATTATTAGATACATTTACTTGCTTTTAAACATATAATAAAACAAAATATGAACTCTGTGACAAAAGGAAGTATTTCTTGATGTTTTTCTACAAACAGTGTTTCACAAAAAAATTTCTGAAAAGTCACAACCTAAAATATTGAACAAACAATATATGTATTTTTCAATCATCACAAAAAAAATATTATGAATAGAGTAAGTTTCAAATTTTATGCAATCATGTTAAGTACAAAATAAATGGGGTGACACAATGTCACCGAGCAGGACTTGAAAGGGTTAAGGATAGTAGCTGCTGTTGTGTTTCATTATTTCTAAAGACACATCAAGGTACAGTTTTAGGATTTAAAGTAAAGTAGGGATATCTAAACTTTAATAAAACAAAATACTATTTAACAATAGGGTATCTGAACTTTCATAAAACAAAATACTGTAATTCCAACTTACTACCGGCTCACAAAACTCTTATAAAAAACATGGCAGTAAAGACTTACTGAAACTTATCAGTATTCATTTCAACAGGAAGAACTAGAGACCAAAACTTTATATGTGGGCTCATATGTAGGTCTGGTGACCAATACACCTGCTGTAACTTTACAATGAACAAGTATTCAAAGGTATGTCATGAAGTAAAGCACTTAGAAAGTTCATTACTGAGAAATAGTTTAGAAATTGTACTTCATATTTTTCACAAGTATGAAAAGCATATTTTAGTAAAATATTTGAGGTATTCTCAAAGTTTTATAAAATACATTATATTAAATTTAATCATTGTATTAGTTACAGTACGTCCAAGGCAGAAACTTGTTCCTCCTAGACAACACCTTACATTGTATGCTTAACCAGCCACAAGTTCAATAATAGCTGTCCCTGATGTATAAACTAATGACCAAGTGACAAGTGGTAAATTGAACGATTAGGCCTCATACTTATTTTTTACTGCATTTTTTGTTTTACAGCTTCCAAGGCTAACAAATTCATAAATATAGCATCTGAAAGGTGGGATCATTTTTCCCTTTTATGGATTATAAATTTGACAACATTTGTTTAATACATCAAAGCCATCTAACTATATCATGGTTGTATTTTTTATGATATATAAAGGTAATAAATTAATTGTATTAGTTCCTCTACTTGTTTGTTTAACAAACATTTATATCCTTTTTAAATGCACCAATAGAAGTTCAAACTTCAGTAGTCAAGTTTTAAATGTTTTCAATGAAGTCTAGTGACATACAGATATCACCAGTTTTGAGCTATAAGATCATAGGATATTTTTTAATCTATAACAAAACATTTACCAAATTATATAAAACAAATACATACAGCATCTTCTTTGTTGGGTTCCAGTGAGATGGTTCTGTCAAATCCTTCAGGTGGTTCTTCCCAAGGCTCCAACTCTTTCTCTAAAATTTGGCCATTAAATTTGCTAATTGAAGAATCTGTAAAACCTGTAACAAAACACGACGCAAAATTTTATGATAAAAGTGTTTCATTAATAATGTATGTGCCAGTGTATACAAACACACATAAAAACACGTGTATGTACGAACATACAAAATCACACACAAGATAGATACGTGTCAATATTATACGTTTAAGTCTCACAAATTTAAGCTTTTTTTTATAGATTTTAAGTTACAATTTTTTGTAAGATAATAAAATTCTCTACAAGCTTTAATTCATCTATAATGACAATAACAACGTTGTGATTAAAAAAAAAGTTAAACAGTTTGTACAAATTTGGTGAATTTTATACAATATTTTCCAGTAGCATCATGTTGCATAAAAATGTTTCAAATTTTTTTTTATACATCATTAACAGTCAAACGGATGTCCCAACTTTTCTCTTTTTTTGGTACTAAAATACTCTAAAAAGAATATCAGACTCAAGAAATCTTTGATTATTAAATTCATTTCTCTATTTGACAGATCTTACTTTACATCTTTCAAATTTTTGTAATTGTAACTCCTATCAAGGTGTGACTAAACTGAGTGATATATTACCTGTAATAAAGATAAAATGTTCATATCTACTTAAAAGTATAATACAATTTCCTCCAGGCTTATGATATGCACTAAAAATAAATAAACTCTTTAAGTTTATCTGCATTTGCTCCCTCAAGGTTCAATTTCCCTCTAATGAACTGGATACAGAATAACCATCACTTTACTTCCCATCTAAGTTTATTGCAGCACTTTGTGACAACTGATATCTCACATACAAAACAAGATGAACACAAAAATTCTGAATTTTCAGCTATTTCATTTTACTTCCTTGGCAAAATTCATATCCATGACACCTATAATAAAATTGTAAGATGTGTATTTTATATTTTTTTAATGTTAATCCTCTGATAACTGACTTATTTCTCGTCAGCTCATCAACGAAAAACCAAGTGAGATAGTTTCACCTACTGCCAAGGATGTTTGACTGTAATATGTTTCAGGACAAATTTATATATATATATATATATATTCATACTATTTTGCTTACTTTTATTCATTTTTTAATAACATACTCAATTATTTCAAGGTAACTGGAGACAAGCACAAGATTTCTTTTGCTTTACTACTTCAGTCTTATAAAGATTTGGTAGCCAAAATAAGAGAAAATCCAAAACTGTTTGCTGCAAATCTTAATACAAGTTATATTAGCAATCAGTTCAAGCTTTTTATACTAATACGTTTAGCTACTGAAAGTGTAAAATAGTCTATTAGACAATTTTAATGTTAATTGAGTTTTAGATGCCTAGGTAAAGAAAATATTATTTTCATTTTTTTAAATCTATGTTTCTTGCTACTGTTGAGATTTGCAAAATTTCAACAAAATGTACTTAAAAACAAACTTAATATTTCAAAGAATTAAATTTACTATAAAAAAGTGTAAAAATGTGCAATAATACAATTAAATAAAAATATGGCTTATTATATCCACATTTAAAGAGCAGGTGTTGTGGATCATGGTAGATTCCAAACAGGGGTTGTGAGGGAGTTAAATACTAATACATTCAACTCTTTGCTCTATCTCTTTCTAGTATCTTTCAGACTTTCATAAAAAGTTGCTCAAGGGTTATCATTGCATAGCCATCTCTCCTTTTAAATTAACAGACTAGAGGAAAGACAGCTAATAAACAACACTCATTACCAGCTCTTAGGCTATTCTTGCCTGTTTAAAAGTGGGACTTGATGATCACTATTATAGGATATCCACAGTTCTAAAGTAATTAGTTCATTTTTTCAACAATGGGACTTGAAACATGAATCCCAGGATTCACGACAATGGGTACGCTAACCATTAGATAACCCCCAGCCATTCTTTTTAGCATTCTATATGTTCTACATGAAATAATTTAAAAATAAACAGTATGTGTACAACTGTATTATTGTACTTGTAGACATTATTTTCTTGGCACTTGTGTACAATGTTAAAATAATGAATAAATAACACATAACATTAAGATCAATACACAATTAAAAACATTTGCAAGTTCACTCCAGAAGATGACATGGTAAACCTCAAAAAATGTAGTCTACATTTTAGAAATTTTTTAAACCATGTATCGACTTTAACGTTGGGTGTTGTTTACTTACTATTTTATTGTACTTGTATTTTTTCTTTACAATGGTAGTAACTCTCTGTTGAGTTTTTGTTACCTGACACTAAGAGGGGGTCTTGAATGATCACTCTCACAAAAGAGGGATTTCAAACTGAAAAAGGTTTAGAATCCCCCACCCCCATTATACTCTTCTAATAATAATATGGTAACAGACTAAGAAGTTAATTTGAGTATTAATGTTACTATTTCTGAACAAAAATCATTACAACTTCTAATGAAGACTATTAAAAACTTAAGAAATAAAATCACAGTTTAGGCCAGAATGCTGATACTGTAACATTAATCTACAAGGAGTTTTGTCAGTCAAACTAGCATATATTATTAGTAAGCTAAAACAGATCATGCCAATGACTTAAAATGTTTTACACTGACACTGGAGGCCAACAATCATTAAACAGAAAAGTTTTATTATAACCTTTTTCTTTTATGATATATTACACATACAGTAATGTATACTTATACAATTTGTTGTTTGTTAAATTCTGCACAAAACTACAAAAGCAATCTGCACTAGCCATTCCTAATTTTGAAGTGATACACTAGAGGGAAGGTTGCTTCTCAACACTACCATGCCAACTCATGAGATACTCTAACAAACAGTGGGATTTGACAGCCACTTTTATAATGCACTTACAGCCCAAAGAGCAAATTTATTTTTCTGGGGGAGGCAGTAATGGAGGCACAAACTATGGATCCCTAATCTACCACACTGAATACTTGACCATGTTCACTCATAGTTATACCAATGCTAAGGTTAAATTAAATCACTATTAACTCAAACATTGTTCATTTCATTGCTGCTGTTTTTTCAAAGAATTTTCTGTCTAGCTTTTAATAAAGAGGAGTATTATACCTGTTAGGTTCAAAACATGTTTCAAGAATATAAGGAAAACACTAATATTTGATTAACTCTTCTATTGGTATCTTTTTACAAGCTTGTGTTCTATCAATCATACTTTAGATTGATCAGTATTACTCTCAATGAGAACAAATTTTTTCTACCATATATTAAAATCAAGCATCTCACTATGTGATGTAGAGGTGCTAAACTACAAGCAGGTGAATTTTTTGACACTAAGTAGTTGCAGTGCTACCATGTTAGGGAAGGTTAAAAGTGAAATACATTTAAATTGAAAAGAACCACCACAACTTATTTAAACGTTTACACTCAAGAGAGTCACAAACTGGATGATGACACATTTTCTAGTCACAAATTCACAAGCAAGTTGTCCATTTTAATATTAACTTCCAAATGTTACAAATATTTTACACACCACAGAATCTTGCTAAAACACATTTACCATAAAAACCTGTAATAACTCACCTCTAGTTGCATAGTCTAGGTCTATATTCACAGCTTTAACCATTACAACATCTTCAAGACTGAAGATAAGTTTCTCTGTTACAGAGTCTTGAGTACTGTAATTGTTTATATAGCTACTGAGCTTTGGGTCTAAACCATGGACAGTTGAAACAGTGACAACTGTACTGTCTACTGTATGTGGCATTTCCAACACCAACTCCATCTGTGAAAAGTATTTATACAAAATTCTTTTTGTTTTTATCATTTAAATGATTCAACTTTTGTTTTTCACCAATAAATAAACAATTCAATTAACTAGAGGAAAGGACTTTTTGCAATAATCCTATTGTACAAACACTGACGATTTCAATTAAATCGCAGACTGAAGTGTGTTTGTTACTGTATAATTTTCCTCTAATTCAAATCTTAAGAGTTCAGAAAACTAATATCAAATTACAACTGAATGTAGTATTTTTCTTATACAGGATATAAAAAATAATAATATGGAATTCAGAACTAAGACATATCCTGTATGTTACGTACACGTTTGGAGTGTGCTTAATAAATAGAAATGACTTTAAAACAGATCAGATGAGATTATTAAAAAGAACTGTTTTCACTTTATGAATCAAACAGTTGTTTGGATAGTTTTAGTTTTCAACGTTAAAAATTCCTGAAATGTTCATATACTTAGGAACAGCCAAAACACTATTTTTCTTCCGATTTACAGATGTTCTCCAATATTGAAATTATACATTTAACTGCAAACTAAATTGGAGAAGAGCAAATATCGCTTTGGATTTTAAGATCCATTTTACAGAATGTTAAGATAAAAGAACACTTTTAACTAAACATTAAAGAATATAATAATACATAAACAAGTATAAATTAATTTTATAAATTCTCATTCAGTTATCAATGCAGGTATAAACTTATTTTACACTCAGTTACAGTAACTCATTGTATTGAAGATTTTTATTATTTTTACACATACATCTAGTTAACTTTTATTTCACATAATATTTTTAGACACATTTAATAATGCTATACATCTTCAAGCCTCTTTTTTTTCTACTCTTGACAGACAATAATTATTTAGTCTAAAACACAGCAGCCGCACTGCTAATGCTGTATTATAAAAAACATGGGTTGAAATTAGAGCTTGGTAATTAAATCAATTACCTATAAGCAGTGGTTACATCATTACTGTCACATAAAATAATCAATTAATGTCATGAAAAGAATCAACTAATTTAAATTAGTGTTTCTGATTATTTCTGTTTTAGACTATTCCAACAATCAATCATAATTATGATTAAATTGACTGTTGCAAATATAATCAACTCATCAAAATTATTCTAACTATCCAAGTAAACAAAATATTGCCATTATGTTTCTTTGTTGTTAAAGTACAAAGCAACATAATGGGCTTTCAATGCTCTGCCCACTGTGAGTATCAAAACTCAATTTCAGCATTAAGTTAGTAGTAAAGTTACAAGCAAAGTAAAAAATGAAAGGAACATAAATGTACAAGTAGTGCCAGTAAAGATTTAGTGCATACACTGCAATACTTGGAAATAACATGCTTTGTTTATGGAAATATTGGAAAATTGGGGATTGTTTTAGGTTTCAAATTACACGTGTTAAAGTATACAATTGTACATACAATTCAAAACGTTTTCCTCCACTATAAATTAAAGTTGAGAAGTTCGATAACACCTACATATTACTGAGAAATAGAAAAATGATCATCTTACAACCTTTATATTATTAAGTTAGTTTAGTATATTTGAAAATTATCAATTTGAATTTTGTAGTTTGTATTAAAAAATGCATAAATGACAAATATAATAATGTGTATGTTAATGTACAATAACTCTATAAAGAGTTACTAAATGTAATTAAGAAAAGAATTTGACATGGTGTTTATTTTACAATCTTGGAATTCAATCATTTGATGTCTGTACGAATGGTGCTTGGAGGAACAGCACTTAATTAAATTGTTTTACATGAAGACTTAAGCAATTGTCCAATTTTTCAGTTTCATTCTTTGATTATTTGGTATTTTACATTTAGCAGTTAAAAAAAATAAACACTGAAATAATATTTATGTTTCATATTTCATTTCAGTCTTTGATAATTTTTTTTGGTCAATGATTGAATTCTAAGGCTGAGCATTACGTATATATAAATCAACTACAATTACTATTTCTATAGTGCAGGGTTTCTCAAACTGTGGTACGTGGAACTAATGTTGGTGGTACATGACACAATTACTATACAAAATCATAAAATTTGAAATAAGCCTTATCTGAGCTTTCCACATACATATACATACTACTCTCCGCACTTATTGATTCACTCTCTACTTCCACAGACTCACCAGTATTTTCTTCCCTTAAAATTAACAAAGATGGTACCACATATTCTTCAATTGTGCCAGAAAAAAAAATTGCATCCTTCTCACTAATGGGTAAGTGTTAAAAATATGAATTTTTGTTACAAGGTTTTCTTAGCCTTTGTTTGAAAAAATTAGGCCTGGGTTTGTAATTTTGAAAAATTAAACAAAAAGTGGTACATGAGCCTGAAACATTTGAGAACCACTGCTCTAGTGTATCTTAATTTATTAGGGCGACTGTGTATCAGGAACAAGGATTTCAGGGCCTTACAGGGAGGAAATATGCTATAAGAATGAAATAAACAATGCCTATTTGCTAAAAAAACAGATACGAAACTAAAAAAAGTAAAAGTGACTTAGCTTTTGATTTGACAGAATGTATGAAAAACCTCTACTTTGATAATGGTGTACAGTGCTAGTTTAATAATGTTAGAAAGAAAATAAATAATATATATATATA